ACCAACAGTTTCTAATTGATATATTTAAAACAGTCCATTGTCAACAGCAGAAAATATTGGATTTTGAAGTTCACATGAAACATTTACCAAGACAGACCATATTCTGGGGTAGTGAGGGGGGACCTCAACAAATTTAAAAGAGTTGAAATCATACAGAATGTGTTTTCTGACCATAATGGAACTAATTAGAAATCAACAATAAAAAGGCAATAGGAAGATCTCTAAACGTGAAGATTAAACATCATAGTCCTATGTAATTCAAAGAAGTATCAAAGGAAATTTTAAAATACATAGAACTGAATGAAAATTTTAAAACATGTCAAATATGTGAGATGGATGTAATGCAGGGCTGAGAGGGAAGTTTAGAGGCCAAATGCTACATTAGAAATAAGGTCAGAGTGAATAGTCTAGGTCCTGTATCAAGAAACTAGAAAAGAAGAGCAAAATAAACCCAAAGCAAGCAGAAGAAAGAAAACTCATAAGAGGCAGACATCTATGTGGCTGAAAATAGGAAAACGATAGAGAAAAATCAATGAAATGAAAGCTAGTTCTTCAAAACAATCAACAATATTGGTAACCCTCTAAGAGGAAAGACAAAAAGAAAATGGAAATCACAATGTCTCTTTTTAATGGCAGCAACTTTCTCTTTTTGTAGTATATTAAATAATGATGCATCTTAAAATTTAAAAAAATCTTTAATAAAATATGATTCTTAATTTTCAAAAATTTTATTAACATTCTGTGGTTAAAAGTGTACGGGTTCCACTTCTTCCAGAGGTCTTTTAATGTGTGCGTGTGAATGGTCATGCACATGGTACAGTCACCATCACAAGGGTAGTAGTGTGTGTGTGTGGTGGAGATGATGTGATAGAGGAGACCAGGCCAGACAAAAGAAAAGTTTACGGAGGGTGACCAAATAAAACATGAACTCATTTAAATCTGGATTTTTTTTTTCCCAAAGCATTCTGATTTTGGTCTAATTGATTGGCTTAATAGACTCATATTATGTGAGCTTAGGAGAGCAATCTATTACATTAATTCGACTAAAGGGAAATGGAAGCCCTAGGAATAAAGGTCTCACATAGAAAACTGGTCTCACACAGCAACTAGCATTCCTGGTTTCTGTAAGTTCAAAGTGGAGCTCAGACAGCGTGGAGTTCTAGAAATAAGGCTCCTAGACAACTCTCTTAACTCTAGTTTGACATTAAGTACAAGTGTCACCATGTTGGAGGTTTTCCACCAGCCCTGGGAGTGCAGGGAGAAGGACAGAAACCGGATACTCCCCTGTGGGGTGTGACTCAGACACCCTGGCACAGGGTCATGAAGCATTGTATCAGGGTCATTTGTGAAGAAACTGCTTGAGATTGATTATTTTATGGTTAGATTCCTGATACTGCCATCTCTAAGGAAAACTTGACTGTTCTCCATGAAGCAATAGGCATGTTTCCTCTACTTTTGCCAGCATTTTCATTTAAAATTTTGGAAAATCTCCAAGTTTTACTGACTAAGAGGTTGTCTAACCCTGGTCTGCAGCCCAAACTTGTTCCCAAATGGATAATCAGCATTTCTTTTAGCCTTGCTAACTCAGCAATTTAAAGGAGAGAGAGAGAGAGAAAGAGAGAGAGAGAGAGAGAGAAAAGAGTTGCCGTTTTCCATTTCTCTCTCTTCCGAGAGTTACAAATCTTGGTTAACCATTGATAGACTGCTGAAAGGTATAGATGCTGATAAGATGATGTACTTCTTCATCTTTCTGTCCAGAAAAATGAAAAAAAAAAAAAGAAATTGGATTGTTTCATGAAATAAGTATTTACCTGTGAAAAGTGCTCATCACATGGCCCATTTTCTACTTCGTAATGTCATGAAATGAAGCACTATTTAGTAAAACTTCAGGTGAGTATTTCAGTTGCTTGTTGGGAATCAGGGAATGACTAAATCATTTTACTTCTGACTCTAGCTGTACTTACAGGAAAGTAGAAAAGTCCTGTTCCAAGGCTTTGGGGGCCTGAGTGTCATCACCACTCACTGCTCAGTGATGCTGGGCTCAAAGCCCTGCCCTTTGCCACTGCAGATCGTGATTCTCCTCCCCCCACACACAGGTACAGATATTTCTCTATTTGCATCATAGAGTGCACACATCTTTAGTTTAATAGAAATTGCCAAATTGTTCTCCAAAATAACAGCATCAATTGGTTCTTTCACTAGCTGTATGTAACTTTTTTAGTCTTTTTTTCAAATATTTATTTTTTAGTTATATGGAGACACAATGTCTTTATTTTACTTTATTTGGTGCTGAGGATTGAACCCAGTGCTTCACACGTGCTAGGTGAGCACTTTACCTGTGAGCCACAATCCCAGCCCTTATTTACTCTTTGATATCGTCATTATTTAATATTTGCCTTGATGACAGGTAAATACAGTATCTCATTGTCTTAATTTTAATAAACCTGATTGCATATTTACCAATACATTTATAACCACTAATAGGCATTGGAAAGTTGTTTATTATATTCTTTGACCATTTTTTCAGTTAGGACTTTTTTTTTTTTGCTCTTTTTTCACATTAATCTGCATTATCAGTCTATTATAGATGCTGCTAATGTGTCTTTTTAATAAACTGAATGAAGTTTTCTAATCTCAGATCTCTCAGGATAAACAGAGTTTAGTCAGGGAATAATCAGGGGTGTATTTATTAACAAAGCAAACATTCAAAGTGATGAAAAACAGGACAGAAAAGCATGTAAGCAAGACCCTTCTGACATAAAATGCATTGCTTTTGAACAGATCATCCTTTTTTTAAATTAACTGTATTTAAGGAAACTTCACTTGCACAAATAAAGTTAAAGAAAAATTGAATCAAATGTTCTATTTTTGTTTTTATGATCTTTCATCAAAAGACAACATGTGTACTTCCTAACTTCTATATTTAATCCATTTGGAATGCAGAGCCTGGTGTGACACCAAGACAAGGGGAACGTACACCTGGAACAGCAATGCTGTGTCCCCCAAAGGCCTTGTGTTTAAAGCTCCGTCACCAGCCTCCAGCACCACTGAGGAGTAGGTGGACCTTCAGGAGGCAGAACCTAGTGGGGAGAAGTTAGGTGACTAGGATGTGCCCTTGAGCAAGATATGGGGACCCCTTGCTCTCTCTAGCAGCTTCCCCTTCCCTGCACTCCCATCACACACCCAAAAGCAATTGAGCCAACAAACCATGGATTGAAATCCCCCAAAACTGGGAGCTCGAATACATCTTTCCTCTTTTAAAGTTGATTATCAGAGATATTTTACAGTAATAGAAAAAGGACTAACAAAGAAGAATGAAGATTTATTTATCTGACAACATGTAGATTTATTTATCTGACAAAATTTTGTTTTGGCAATACCAGACACTACATTATACTACAGAGCTATAGTAGCAAAAAAGTCATGGTATTGGCACCAAAACAAATATGTAGCTCAATGATACAGAAGGAAGACACAGAAACAAACCCACATAAAATACAGTTCTCTCATACTAGACAAAGGCACCAAAACCATACCTTGGAGAAAGACAGCTTCTTCCACAAATGGTGCTGGGAAAACTGGAAATCCATATGTACCAAATTAAATTAAACACCCATCTCTCACCATGCCTGAAAATTAACTCAAAGTGGATCAAAGATAGGCACTAGAACCGAGACCTTGTGCCTAATGAAAAAAAAAAAAAAAGTAGTCCCAAATCTTCACTATGACAGCTGAGGACCTGACTTCCTTCATAAGACTCTTAAAATGTAAGAAGTAAAATCAAGAATCAATACATGGGATGGATTCAAATTAAAAAGCTTCTTCTTGTCATAGAAAAAAATCAATAATGTGAAAAGAGAGCCTACAGCATGGAAGAAAATATTTACAACCTGCACCTCAGAGCATTTATCTCCAGGAAATATAAAAAACTCAAAAAAAAAACTAACAATAACGACAACAAAACCAAATAACAAATCAACAAATGGGCGAAGGAACTAAACAGACATTTCACAGAAGAAGAAATACAATCAATCCACAAATATATGAAAAAATATGTTCAATTTCTCCAGCAATTAGAGAAATGCAAATCAAAACTACTCTAAGATTATATTCCACTCCAGAATGCCAATTATCAAGAATACAAGCAACAATAAGTGTTGGCAAGGAAGTGGATAAAAATATACATTCACACATTGCAAGTAAGACTGCAAATTGATGCAACCACTCTGGAAAGCAGTATGAGGATTCCTCAGGAAACTCGGAATGGAACCACCAATTGATCTGGTTATCACCCTCTTCAGTTTATACCCAAAGGATGGATGGATGGATATATATATATATACACACACACACACATATAAGCAATCTACAATGATGCAGCCACATCAATGTTTATAGCAGCTCAATTCACAATAACAAAACTATGAAACCAACCCAGGTATCCTTCAACAGATGCATGGATAAGGAAAATGTGGTATAGGTACACAATGGAATTTTACTCAGCCTTGAAGAATGAAATTATGGCATTGGCAGGTATATGGGTGGAGCTGGAGAATATCATGGTGAGCAAAATAAGCCAATCCCAAAGAAACAAAGTCCACAATTTTTTTAATATGGGGATGCAAATTCACAATGGCAGGTGGGGCTAAGAAAGAATAGAGGGGAATGAAGGGAGGAGAAGGGATACAGGGTAGGAATTACGGTAGAATGAATTGAACATTTTTACCCTATATGCATATATGATTGTACAACCTGTGTAATCCTACATCAAGTACAACCAGAAGAATGAGAAGTTATATTCCATTTATGTACCATGTGTAAAAATACTTTCTACTATGATGCATAACTAATTAAAACAAATTTTTTTAAAAATGACTGAGATGAGTCTTTGATTTTCTATCCCCCACTCCTCCTTCCACACTTCTGGCTCTCATGTGGTTCTTCTGTTGCCACGGTAGCCAACATTCTCAGAACACAGACTTCTGACAGTTATACCTCTTAGTTACTTAGCTCAGGATCTGAAGGACTTCAGTTATCCTGTGTATGCCTCAGGAATTGGAAGCATCTCCTTCCACAGGAATCGCAGGAGACTAACATGACAGAGTCTCCAAAGTGTATGTGGGGGTGGGGGGAGATTGGGGGGGAGACAGAGAGACAGACAGAAAGCCATTTAGTGTTTATTCTCTCCCCCAAGCACTTGCTAGAGAAACATGGGAAACGTTGGACTAAAGATGCCATCAGATGAGGGGAGGATGGGCATTTAAATAGCTGTATTCTTTCTAGAAAGTAATTTAGTATCAATCATAACTTTAATATAGTTCTAATCCTAATCTAGTAATTCAACCTATAGGACTATGAGAAGAAAGGTAGAAATTTGTGGATAAGGGGGTTTACTATCATTAATAAGACCACTGTTAGTGGTCTTAATAATCTAAGCGTCATTGATCACCTAAATTAATGGTCATTAAGAGGTGATCCTCAAAAAGAGTTCATGAGAGAGTGGTTAAAATTACAGAGAGCCATATGTGTGTTTCCTGCAGGCTGTGCCATAAAATTGAGTAATTTCACATTCTTTGAGTGACATGCACATATATATGGATGAGTGCATACAAGTTCAAATGTACATATAGGTATGTATATGTAAAGAAGGAGAAGATTCTAAAGAAATCCACAAAACTCTTTTCCTGCTGTTATCATCCCAGATGGTGGGATGGGGTATTTAACTTTCATCTTCCTACTTTCCTGTATTTTTCAAATTTTATACAACTATCTTTTATGATTGGCACTTCTTCCAACTGCAGAAAGAGGACAAAGCAGGAGAGGTATCAGGTGGAGGTGCTCAGTGCAGAGGGTTATTATACAATAGAAAAAGTTTTTAAAGAGAAAGAACTGCCTCTTCTGCTCTTGACTAGAGAGTGCAAACATAGGATGCTCTTCTGCCCGAGTGGGATAGTTCTGAATGGGAAATGGATTAGATTTATCTGCTGAACTACACGACCCTCTTCTCAACTTCACCTGTTAATGCTTTTCTGTTGAAGTTTCCAGTGCTGAGGGAAACTGGGCGCCTGAGCCCTTGGACTCCATGGGAGACTCATCGTTGGGCAGCAGCCCTGACGTGGAGCAGTGTGTTTTGGAATCCTCATCCAACCAGAGCCTCTCTGTGGGCTATTTCCCCCATGAGGACGGCATTGACTGTGAAGACATCATACCTTGTGAAGAGCTGACTTCTGAGGGTCCCTCCTGCCACGTGCTGCCTCCTGTCCAAGGGGCATGGGGAAGCGAAAGTGAAATTAAACCTGTGGAGAGACAAAATCCAATTCAGGAGAACCCAGAGAAGCCAGGCGAAGAAGCCATCCTCGAGGTCTTGGATGCCTATCTGGAGTGGCACCAGGAAGACTCGGGAGCTAATGGGACTCCCAAGGAAGACTCCCAGAGGATGGACGAGTGCCCACAGGAGAGCATAAACCAGACCCTCTGGGACGTGGATGAGCTCATGAAAGATCTGGAGGCATTTATGGAGAGTCAGAAGGTTGACCAAGACCATGGCTCTGAGCTGTTCGATTCTCCTCCTGCGGAGGATCTCCAGCCGTGCACCAGTGCCTCTTCCGATATGGATCAGGTCAGTGACCAAGAATCTGAAGCTTGTGAGGACTTGCCCAAGTGTGACCCACCAGAAAACGGAGACATGGACCAGTTCCCAGAAATGCCTCCTGAGCTTGAGGACGACGAAATTGTTGAGGTGAGCACAAAGCAGTCTCAGTGCAGAGCAAGGGGTGGGTCAGGGAGGGGGATGCCAGGTGGGACAGCTCAGGGTCATTCTACCTGCTGTGAAGCCGGTAGACCTGAGTCTCTCAGCAGATGAGCAATGGGGGAAGGAGAACAGCAAGGAAAGGAGCCAGGGAAGAGGTGTAGGGAAAGTGCCAAGGAGCACGGAGAGAAAGAGAGGGGAGGAACAAAGAGAAGGACTAACGATAATACAAATGTGTGTGTGCGAGTGTGCATGTGTGCGTGTGTGCGTGTGTGTGTGTGTGTGTGTGTGTGCTTAATGATTCACGTGTACAGAAACTTTGCGTTTACACTTGGCTATTTCTGTTAAAACAATAAATCAGTATCCATAAAGGAGTAAATATTGACTCCACTGCTTCTGACGTGGCTTGTCCATCCCTCACCCTCTCTGTCTTGGCAGATGGAAAGCCAGGAGATCTGCACTGCAGAGACCTCAGTCTCCTCAGAGCCGTCCAAGGAGGAGGACGGGCCTTCAGAGGAAGAAAACACGTGCTGTCTGAACTTGAGCTTAGGCTTCAAGTGGCTCAGGAAGCGAGTGGTCTCTGCCCTGACAGGGAGAAATCGCCCTCCGAGGGCCAACAACAGCTCCATTCTGCTGTCAATAAGGAGAAGACATTTATTTGGAGGCAATAAAGTCCATCCTCAAGAATCCCTTTAGTTAGGACCCCCTGTCTACCCAGAATTCTAACCATTTTCATTGTTCCTTCTGTACAGTTACCATGGTTTTATGTTTCCCAATAAACACAACAAATGTTCTTGTTATCCATCCATGTCTTTCTCTTCTTCCATCATAACATCTGGGCCCAGGTTGAAAGTACATATGTTGCCTGGAAGACTGAAATTCATTCTCAGGACATTTTAGATAGTATTATGCTTCCTAAATACAAAGCATGGTTTTCTCTCTCTCTCCCTGTACCCCTTCTACTCTTTTTCCTCTCACTTGATCTATGATTTTTATCATTAACTCATACCTGCACTGTCAGAGGCAGCAAGACACCTGGGACCCCCACATGGCAGGATGGTACTGGTGGAACTTCTGGTCTTGAGCAAGTGGCAGTGGGCAGTGAGCCACTGGGAAGTTCACTTCAGTCAGTAGTGTTTAGACTCTCAGAAAGCAGTTCTGATGACCCTGGGGAATCAGACTGGTTCTGGCATGTTATTCTAAAATGTTCTGACATGTTGATGGGTTCTAGCAAGTTGGCTGGCATAAGAGGCCCATGGAGGAAGATGCTAAGGGCTGGGGATGCTGCTGAACCTCCCTACGCCTGGCTTTCTTCATTCATGAGATATAGTGAATTATACCGCAGACCTCAGAGGGTTTGGAGGAGAATGAATGTGATAAAGTAAGTACTCAGTAAATACTGTGACTGATGCTGGTGGTGGTCACGTTCCTGAGAATCTCCCAGGAAGACTTGATTCAAGGTGTATCCAAGAGGGAGATTTGGAATCAACTCTCACAGAGCTATTTCCTACCCTGAAGTCATGTGACCACAACTTCAGATTTTCAGCAGAACTTGACTGAATAAGTCTTCTCTCAACTCACTGCACTGGGCTCTCTGAAATTCCTTTCTAAATATCATTAAAATCGTCCCTATAGGGCCAACTTCTTTGAGGAAGCCTGGACTCAGCCTTCTTGCTGACTCTTCGTGGGTTGTCAGTTCACCTCCCATGGCCACCATCATCTTCCTCACTCACCCACAGGTTCCTGCACAGGTCCTCCTCCTCTGGCTTGTACTAATACCCTGTGTGACCTTCAGTGTTCATATTGTGAAAAATCTCTGGGTATTTACTGTGAAAGGCCTTCCTTTCCTCAATTCCACCCTCTTTTACTCCCTCCTCCCTTCCACGATCATTGAGCACATAGAAACCTCACTAGCTGCAAATACCAGAAAAGATTATCTAGATTTGGGGGGCTCAAAGGGCTCCTTCTTCAAGAGTTCAAGCCATGTAAACTGTATGACCGTAATGAGTTGTGGCTGAAAAGCGGTCTCTAGCATGTTTATGAAGAAGTGCCTAGGAGGGATGATTTTTAAAATCTTCATCTAAAGTATCATAGAAGTCCATTTACACTGGTATTTTCCCCTATATACAAAGTTTACCACTTTAACCGTTTTTATGTATCGAGTGTGTTCCTACCTCCATATGCTTTAACCACGAAGTAAAGCAATATATTAATAAGAAAGCGTGTGAAAGCATGCACCAAGTAAATGTGAAGTGAGAAAAGTGCTCATGAGGGATGTGGGACACAAAGGGAACAGCAAAGAGGGGAACACCCTAAGTTTTATTTATAATGTACTTTTTTATTTTATAATATAATTTTTAAAAAATATTGAATCAGATATGACAAAATGTTAATGCCTGTCACTAAGTTGTCATGCATGAGTGTTTGTTATATCATTTCCCATACTTTAATGTATTTTTTCTTTTACCTTTCGTCTTACTCTCAGCTTACACTTCCAGAGAAAGCAAGCCTGCTGGCTGGCATGAATATATTCCTCAGCCCACTGCTCCAATGTTGACATCTTATACAACTAGCACAATGAGCACACCAGGATGTTAACTTTGGTGCAATACCTTTAACTAAGTCAAAGGCAGTACTGGAATTGCCCCCACTTATTGCACTAATATCCGTTTCCTATTCTCCGATCTCATTAGGAACACAAGTTGCACTTCACTGTACTGTCCCCTTAGTTACCTGCAGTGTGTGACAGGACCTCTTGTCTTCTCTTACCTTTTATAATCTGACAATGATCAGATTTTTTTGTCAAATGTCCCATACTTGTAGTTGTCTGTCATTTTACCATAATTAAAATAAGATGATACCCATTAGGGGCTTTTCTAGATGGCAGAGAATTGAAGAGATTGCTTTCCTGGTAGCTTCATGGCATGAAACCAAGAAAACAGACAAGTAGCTTCTCCACCAGGTGGGTGAACGAAAAAAAAAAATGAGGTGTGACTTTGCTGGAATTTAAAAGTAGACATTCGATGCAGACCAGGGCCACAGGAGGGTGGATATAATACAATAAGGAAAAAATCTACAGCAGCATAGCTGATCTGCAGCTGGGCCAGAAGTAGGACCATTGTAACTCTCCATCATGTACAATCAGAAAAATGAGAAGTTACACTCCATCTATGTTGATGTGTCAAAATCCATTCTACTGTCATATAGAACTAATTAAGCACAAATAATAAAATTTTTAAAAATTTTTGCTTTCGGCATGTTAGGTGACTACAGATTTTTTTGATAGCAGGACAAACCAACTTCTTGCTACTAATTTCAACATGATGAATACCTATGTTTTTAGCTTTTCACAGTACATTCATATATACAACATAAATCTTCAAAAAAGTTTATCACTTTATTAAATATACATAGAATGACACTAAAATTTTTCCAATCATGCTTGGATTCCTTGAAAAATCTTGTTTTCACATGCTCTGCCCATCAGACTTATATTGGTGAATGCCTCCTCCCACAGGCCTCTGTACCATCACAGACCACTGTGGGCCTTTCACCTAGATGTGCATTCATCTAACCTTTGGGCATCATGTGGCACCCACTGGCCCCCTCAGAAGCTCTGAAGTCTCACCTTCCCAGTAATCCATCCTGCTATGAAGACCTCCCAGCAGAATAAGTTTAGGGGCTGACTGGTTAGATTCTAAATTCTGCTATGGCTGAATTCAAATCAATTGTTTCCCTCTTCCTGGCATAATTCACCTACAAAGCTTCCCACTGAGATTTAAAGCTCTAGGTTTTTTAGATTTTTGGTTACATAAAACACATAACATATTATTCATCTTACACTTTTCTAACTGCACAGCTGGTAGTGTTAAGTATATTCATACTGTTGTGTAACACGGCTCCACAACTTATTCATCTTGCAAAACTAAAACTCTATACACAAGGAGCCACGACTCATCCTTTCCCCCATCTCTATCCCCCAGTGACCATCATTCTATTTTTTGATTCTGTGGATTTGATGACTTTAGTTACTTTATCTAAGAGGAATTTGTCTTTGTGACTGGATTTATTTCACTTGGCATATTATCCTCAAGGTTCATCCACATGGTACCATGTGACAGGATTTCTTTGCTTTGCAAGGCTAGATAATATTCCATGTATAGGTACCATATTTTCTTTATCCATTCATCCATCAATGACATTTAGCTTGCTTCCACTTTTTGGTGGAATTAGCATGGGCATTAAAATATCTTTTTGAGACCCTGTTTTCAATACTTCAGAATACATAACTAGAATTGGGATTACTGGATCCATCCAGTAATTCTATTTTTAGTTTTTTGAGTTATCTTCATTCTATTTTCCATACTGGTATACCATTTTACATCCCCACCAACTAGAATGTTTCTTATCTATTCATATTTTTACATATCCTAGATAATAGTTGTTTCTCTGTTATATATTACAAATATTTTCTTCAAATTGGTCCCTTGTTTTTTAGCTTTCTTGATGATGTCTTTTTTCATATAATAGCTTTGTGTTTTGACATAGTCTAAGACACCATTTTTCTATTTTAATTTTTCTTCTAATTTAAAATTATTGGGCTTAAATTTTGATACAGATCTGAAAATATTTAGGTATTTTCATCTATTTATTTTTCAGTATGGCAAGAGGAAACTTTTTGTCCTTATCGGTAATTGGTTGTCTTCTCTGGATTGGAAATTCCATTTCTGTCATACAAAATCTCATGTAAAATAGACACTTCCACTGCAGTGGCCTTGGTTTCTGTCTTCTGAGCAGAAATAAAAAGTTGGTCTCACATGATGATCAGGAATACAGTGCCGTTTTACTAGTATGCTAGCCATTCTAGTTTATTAGTTTACTAAACTTATCAATCTATTCATTTTGACACTTTTCTTATTTGTTATCACCTCTGATGGACTGAATATATTAAGTGGGAAAAGTCCATCATGGTCTCAATTCCAACCCAGAAGGGATTTTAAAATAAGTGGAAACACAGAGCCTTGCTTGGAAGACATTCCCATGTACCTGACAAATACAAAACACACAGGTGGTAATAAAGAACACCAGGGTAATACCAATGGTAATAAAGAATACCAAGGACAACAACATGTGGTATACACAAGCACAGAAGTGCTGTGGCATCCACTGTGAACCAGAGGTGGCTTCCTGAAAAAATAATGAATCTTGAGTGATGCTTAGTATGTAGAGAAAACTATCACTTGGTTGGAAAGTAAGAGTCTGGGAGGTGGGTAAGGAGAGACATAAATAGAGGGGACATTTACATCTATCCATGTAGAGGTGATAACAGATAGTAAAAGTGTCAAAATGAATAGATTAATAAGTTTAGTAAACTAATAAACTAGAATAGTTAGCATACTAGTAAAAGGGCACTGTATTCCTGCTCATCCTGTGAGACCAATATCAAATAATGAAATTAAAACAACAATTAAAGGCTGGGGTTCTGGCTCAGCGGTAGATCGCTTGCCTAGCATGTGTGAGGCCCTGGGTTCGATCCTCAGCACCACATAAAAATAAATAAATAAAATAAATGTATTGTGTCCAACTACAACTAAAAAAATAAATTAAAAAACAGCAATTAAAAGCCTATCAACAAAGAAAAGCCCAGGACCAGTCTGATTCTCAAATAAGTTCTATTAGATCTTTAAAGAAGAGTTAACATTAATATTTCTCAAATTATTTTATTGAAATGGAAAGGGAAGGAACACTGCCAAATACAATCTATGAAGTCTGTATCACCCTGATCCTAAAACTAGACAAA